ACAAAAATGGGTTGCTAATGTTATTGAAGTGCATTACCTTGTCGTCCCCTTCAGCATCTCCCGGCGCCCCCATTCTCTCTGCTGTCTGAGAAAAAAAAGTTTGCTCTCCTTCTCTCTTGGCACTTTGCAGAGTTTAATCCTGGAAAAGAGCCCCTAGTGTTGCCTCGCCAGGCCGTAGTAAGAAGACCTCTGGCTGTTACTTCGGGTTCCGTGACTGGCTCGTAGCCGGTAACAAGCTTACTGCACAGGTCAACTTTGCTATTGAAGAGACAGAAGGAGGCGTAGGAAAACTGCTTCACCGGAACTTTATTTTCTTCCAACAGTGGGCTCCAACAATTTACTCAGAATGAGCATCGCACACACCTCGGGCTGCTGTGGGAGTTGTTATATTCCCTTTTTAATGCCTTTATTTTCTGTTTCTTCCGTAGCTACTTGTGATCCCCTTGTTTTCCTCTCTCCCTCACTCAGACACACACCTCCAGGAGCAGTCCCACATATCCTTCCACAGCCTTCATTAAAGGGCTATACCTGTAACACGAGGAACCCTGCTCGACAACGCCAAATTGTTATTGAAATTTTAACAATGACCTGATGTCTGGAGATCTTCAAGGGGTTTTTAAATGTTGCTTACATGCTGTGTGTACATAAATTGCACATTTCTGTTTCTGTTGAAGTAAACAAAAACACAATACAAACACAGCACAGCAAAGCTTCATTCAAGTGTTAAGACTGACGTCTGGACTGTGTTGAAGGTGAGAACTGCACGCCTAAACCTAGAAGTCTGTCTGCAGAAAGCAGAAAAAGAAGAAATGACCAAAATCCTCCAGATGATTTTCAAGAAATGAACAGCTGCAGTTTAAACATGAGAAATATGTTTACAGGTGTATATAATCCTATGTTTACCTATTGGGCCACGTTCTTCTCTTTTCTCTGTGTCATAAAATCAATTCCTTTCATGTTGTTACTCCTTACTCCTTTTGTCTGTTTCAAATGACACATGGAAACTTCTGTTTGTGCAGAAGTGCCATCTAATGCACAGGTGAGTTAAGCATCTTGAGAAGTGCTAAAGAAGCTCCTCCTCTTGGAAATACTTTCATGAAAATAAATGAGTAAATAAAAGGAAAAATATTAACTATTACTCAATAAGCTCCTCTAAATCAATACATTTGTTTCCTTGCTCACCCCCTGTTTGTGCACACCCACTGTGGACAGATACCTGTACTCCACCACATCATCATGCTCTCCTGTCTGAAGTTGATCACTGTCTGTCTGATCTTTTTTTACATTAAGAAGCAGATGATTCCTCACAGACCACTCCACATATTTATCCAACTATTTATCCGGGAAACTTTTGATGCTTCTTTTAGATGCTTCCATAGCTTCTCTCTCAGTGATAATGTTGGTACTTGGTGGACAAGATCTTGGAAAAAGTACATTTATGTACATAATGAATTTATTTTAAGCGAAAATGTTGTGTTTGTATGACATAGGAAAAAGAGACTTCTCTAATTTTTCAAAAATTTATTTAAAACTGGATTTTGTTTTCACTGGTGCTTTGTAACTGAAGTTACTGAAACATTAACAGGTTTCATAACAATATGGTATAATAATCAAGAAATACAGTTGCACATTTTTCTGTTTGTTCGTAAGCTGTATGATTTTGTTTCCCTCGTCTGGATCCCCTTCGGTGTAACAGTGCACACTAATAGAGAAATATATGAGTGGTAATTGACATCACACATCAGACTCTTTCAGATCCTCTCCAGTGGCCGCAGGCTGGTAAGGCTCTGTGGGTCAGATAAGCAGATGCATTACCACAAACTAAGATTTGACACAAAACTTGCTCAACCTGTGGTTAGATGTGAAATCCTAAGATTTGGTAAACAAAACATAATCACAAAGTTATTCTTCGATGGAGTGTTTTGGCGCCGTTTTGCCACTTTTTTGTGTGTAGAATGGAAAACAAAAACAGGCAGCAGAGACTCTTAGCCAGAAACCTTTTTGTGGGCTCATTTGTGCTTGCAGTTTGTTACGACTCATTTAGTCATACGACTAATTTATTATGTATTGTTTAGGCTCATCCACACCTGATGGTGGAATTGTTCATTTTCTCTGCCTCTTTTTTTCTGCTGCTTCAACCACAGACTGTGTGTTTAGTAATGTACTATGTGTTCAAGTTCCTGTGTCTAGAATAACTAGGTAAACTAAGTCTTCCTCCACTCCAACCCAACCAATCGCTGCAGATAGCTGCCACTCCCTGAGCCGGCTGGAGGTTTCTCCCTGTTAAACAAGAGTTTTTCCTTCCCACTGTGGCCAAGTGCTTCCCAATAGGAGGGTCGTTTGATTGTTGGGGGTTTCTCTGTATTATTGTAAAAACTTAGAATGCAAGACCTTAATATAATATATTAGTACTTAACTCCCTTGAGGCATCTACTGTTATGATTTGGCTCTATATAAATAACATTGAATTGAACTCAATTAAACATTTGAGAGTGCCAGATGTTAATAATAATTACTAACTAATTATTAA